CGGTTTTTTAGTTTAATGTGTATATTGCACGTGCACGCACGAAGACTACCGAATCGTTAGTTTGTATTATAATATTATGTATGCATAACACATATTATAATATGGGTAAATAGCTTTTATTGATGATTATAATATAATACACTAACTTATTTTGTAATTAATAACATTCTCTATACGTTAAATGCGTATTATAATGTTGTAATGTAATATATTAATTACGCATTTTTAAATGTTTTTTTTTTTTTTTTGCTCGTTTCTCCCGATCAATATAAAACACACGCATATATTATACGTTATACTATATTGATGCGTCGGAAAGTAATAACGTTTTATCGTGCACGAGCATTGTGTACACTGCGCTACGTATACAATATTATATTAGAATAATATTATAATTATATATAGACAAAATAAATAATATTATTGTTAACCATTATATCAGGTGTAAACCGACCGTATACGCGTTTTGTTATATAGCCGATTTTTTAAATAGGTAAAAAAAATACACGAATTAAATGCCCCGAGCTACGGTACCCGGGTTAGCGACCTATAAAAAAAATGCAAATCGATATTTTTCAATTATAACCATACATATATAAATTAATATTATAAGCCCTTGACCCTTCAAATAAAATTATTCATATATAATAATCTATACGACGATGTAAGTACGTAATATATTATAGTTGTGCGTGTATATTATTATACGATTTTGTATAGTATAGTGCGTATATTGTTATAATGTGTGTGTGTGTGTGTGTGTGTGTGTGTGTGTGTGTGTGTGTGTGTATTTAGATGCGTTAGAATTTATAAATTGACCACACGCGAACGCGCGTCACAGTGTAATAATATTTTTACTCTCGACAATAATACTAGAGAATTTACGTGTAATTTTTTATGATTTGACATTATCACAAATCGATTGACAGTAAATCGAATAAAAAGTGTGTCATAAAGTTATTTTATTTTTTAAAGTTGAATTTTCCCTCGACAATAGATACTATTAAATTTAACAGTGTCTGCTGTATAATATTATATTATATATATTATACATAATATATCCTTTTCACCACTACTCTTGTACGATTTTATCGGCTCCCTCTGGACCAAATTAGCTCAAACTGGGTAATTACAGTTGTCAAATAGACAAATTGAAATCATAATGGTCTGATTGAATTTCGATACGAATTTTACCATGTTTTGGTGAAAGGAGGTGGTTTTTTTTTTAGCATTGAACACTTCTAAAGATCTCTCAAAGAAGCAATGTGTGAAATGGTGCCTATTCATGGCGATAATATCAAAGACGTGCCTTTTAAGCGTTTCAACTATCAACCCAGTCTCCACTATTTTTACTATTTCAAATGTTCCTTTTTATTTTTTTTAGAAGTTGTTCAATTGCAAACTTGGAAGCCGGGGATGTATATGCGTGTATTAGTTTTGTATTATACGGGGTGATCAATCTATCATAAGACACTCATTATTTCGGAAAGTATTAACTTTTTCCGGAATTTATTTTCTAGAACATTTAAGAAATGAGTTGTTTTATAATTTATATTTATGTTTTTTTTTTGTCACCTTTATTTTTAGGAGTAAAAACACAACCTACTTTTGATTTTCTAACGGATATCTATATTAAAAATGCCATAAATAGATGGGTTGTTATTTAAAATAAATTTTAGCGTTGACATTTTTAATTTGATTTTTTTACGAGATATTCCACTATTATGTTTTGGTTGGAGGAGAAATGGTTCATTATTAACACGCCGCGCGCCGTACCGTCACACAAATGATACTCCACTCTTCTTCCCTAATCCAAACTTAAAGGTGAAATGGATTGACGGAAATCAAAAATGTCAACACTAAAATTTATTTTAACCAATACTTCATCTATTTATAGAATTTTAATATAGGTTGCCATTTGAAAATCAAAAATAGGTGGTGGTTTTACCTTCAAAATAAGGATGACAAAAAATAACATAAATATTAAATTGTAGAACAACTTGTTTCTTAAATAATTTAAAAAACAAATTCTTGAAAAAAGTTAATACTTTCCGAAATAACGAGTATTTAACGACAGGTTGATCACTCTGTATAGTATTGCATACAGAAAAAAAAAATAAACATGAATAAAAATAAATAAAATGTTATTTTATCGCACATAGACCTATCAAAGTATTACCCAGATTTAGTGAATTTTGCCCATCTCAAGCGAAAGTTAATTGAAAAACATTTAATAAACAAAAGGGGTAAGTATACGAAAAGAAAAAAATATATTTCTTGTTTTTTCTACGATAAGCGCTGATATGTCATAAACAATCCCAGTGATGCAACCATTGTTCATTTATGAGGGATATGGAGTGTTATGAGTTTCAAACAAATTTCTGGACAGGTTGTTAGGTTATAAATTACTAAACAGGCGAAGTGCTCAATGTACACGCGCATTAAAAATTGTAAAGACATTTCTGAAATTGCAATACAAATTATTATGCAATCAAAAATTATGTAAGTCATTTTTTAGATAATATAATAAATATTCCAAATGATTTTCTGAATATATCGATTTTTTGACGTGATACTGTCCATATTTAAAGAGTCGTATATAGGCAATTTTCATAACATTTTTGAAAAAATAAAAATTTTATCAACTCATATTTTTAATATCGTACGAAGGAAGTACCTCAAATTTTGTCAGGCGTTTATATCTTTTTGGCAAAAATTACAATCCTCTGGATGTGTTGCGAAATTTCGATAAATCTTCTAAAATTTTAAATATTCAAAATGCACTGTTTGAGCATTAACGATAAAAACATTTTTTACAGCAAAATGACGAATCAGCATTACGTCGTATTAAAATCTACCGACTACGTATCTACGAATATAATATTATACCGAGTACCACCAGGCCTTTTGATATTGGTTCTTTCGGTTTTGTTTTCTCTTTGAACACCGTAATATTCGTGTTAACCGAGGGGGAGACACAGCCGGTCTCGTCGCGCGGAAGTCGTGTAAGAGAATCCCACGAAAACTGTTGTTTTCCTTCTTTTTTAAACTCACATTACCAAAAATCCCTAAAAAAAAAATATCCCCGTACGTTTGCGCGGGAACTCGTGGGGAAATGAAAATGCGTACAATAATAATAATAGTAATAATAATAATAATGTAGTAGATACCTATATAATATTATTTGGCGGATTCGTAGACATTGTAAATATACCTATTGTGTGACAAGGTCGCCTAGAACATTAACCTTACAATAAAACCCCGGGACGGTGGTGTTTTGGCCACGGGACGTCTTAAAGGCCAAAATAATAATAATAATCGTCGGTAAAAACGCGCGGGAAAACAGAACACGAACTATACGTCCGCCACTATACGAATAGCCTGCAGTGTCCGCTGGCGAGTCACACGCCTAATCATAATCATTAAGATCAAGTTTCCATTTCATTCGATCTACAATACCGTAATAATCATATAGAAAACGCTAGTATAAGTGTTATGTGAAATGTTCAACCCTCCATGACAATGTTTAACCGATGTACATTGTACAACAACAAAAATGTTTTGAAATGCCGTAATTTTTAAAATAAAATAAAAATAAAAAATCATTTTAATGAGCGAATTAGAAGACAATTATTTTGGGGAAGATGCTATACACTTGATGATCAGAGAAAGTTTTGGGATACAAAAGTAGTAAACTGAAAAAAAAAAAACATGCATCATAATAAAACCTATAGATTTCCTGCTACGTTCAAATAAGTACTACTGCTTGTTTTGTAAACCTGTACAAAATTCCACCAAAATATTATAAATAAACGATCGTGTATTCGTATTTGTTCAACTGGTATAGAAATGCGCTAGTGTATCATGTTTACTCTTCGTTAAATGGCAAATAATAGTATTTTTCGTAATTTATGGTTTTGTGATAATAACAAAATTATTATTAATAGAGTAATACACAGTGTATTCGTGTGATTATATCAACGTGTGACAGCCATCAATGATCGTCTACAAAATTGTATAAACTCTACAAAGATAATATTATAGACAAAACAAATTCAATCTGTGACGTGCACAGGAATTTGATTTACATAATATCAGGATATGATTTCCGTACCCCTTTATGGAAGAAACTAACGGGGGGGGGGGGAATCGTCGTTTGCAGCGGGTTCAAGTACATTAGGGTGGATTTAATTGTTTAAATTAATGTTTGTATGCTGCTTTGTAAGCAACTCGGGTATCTAGTACGTCGGTATCCTAAAATGGACATGATGTAAAAATTATCATTGTACTATAGAAATCACTGTTGGATAACCATCCGGCTGGTATATTCTGGTCAAGTGCAATGTTATCATGTATTGCATCGGTACAGATTTTTATTTTAGATTCTTAATGGAGCGAGGAATTAGTTTTACAACGTTGTTTATTTATTTTTTTATTTTTTTTTTTGTGGACAACTTTTCTCCCAGTAATTTTGCTCCGATTTAAAATGATAGCACTTTTTCTGAAAGAAAATCTGATTCAAATGGTAGGTTATTTTTTTCGGTGATTAAGGGATGAAAATAAAAATTTAATTTTTTTTCTACATTTATCTCCTCTTGACATAAAACTCGATTGAAATTATTTTTTAAATAAAATAATAATATTTACAAGGTTATTAGCATTCGGATAACGCTTTAGGACACTCTGTATGTTACGGACACAGTAAGGAATACTTGCAGAAAAAATATTTATCTAAGCGATGTAATTTTTTTTTTTTCTATATATATTTGTATTATTGTGTACGCTGTACATAATATATTATGTAGATATTTTTTAGTCAATAGGTACTTTTGGACATCCTCGATTTGTGTAATTTGTGTTATTTATGTTTATATGAGGTATATTATAGAAAAGTATTAAGTACCTATATTATAAATCATGTACATATTTTATTACTTATGTAATTATTACAACATATAATAGAAAAAAAAAAAACAACACGTTCACTATTGTAAAACCAACGAACTCGCTACGATCAGAATTCGAAAAAAAAAATAAATGTAATTATTTGCTTGAAAGCCGTAGTTAGAAAAAATTCCAATCAATCATAGTGTTGAAATATAAATCGTGATTTGCCTTTAAAAATGTGTAAAAAAAAGAATCGTATTTATTCAAATATCGTGGAAAAGTACACGTCTATCGTGATTAATGGTTTGTCTGTCGCAAATCGAAATCTGCGTGACAAAATTATTATTGATCCAGATACTACACGGAGTACTCGCATCATAATATCAACGTGTACTTAACGGCGAACATTATATTTTGACTTTGACATTTACAAGCACCCGCGGAGATTACACGGACAAAAATCATTCGAATCGGCTTTGCCTTCAGTCTACAGGTATTCAAAATAGCCGATTGTTTTGGTAATATAAATTTTCGACTAACGAGTATTGAAATGAATTTTAATTGCTTACTCGTTTGTCTATGCTTCATTTTACTGTCTATATTTCCAAAAAATGTAAATTCAGAATGGGTTGTCCAAAGGGGTCCTCTCACTTGTGGAAAAGATGCGAAATTATGTTTACAGCCTTCGGGTTGTTTTTGTTGTAAACCAATGTGTTATCCACTACCTCCAGTACCATCAGCATGTCCAACTGGCACAGAATACTGCGTTGACAATAATCAAAAATGTGCGTGTTGCAAATCGAATTGTAAAGAATAAACGAAATGGCAAACGGATGGTAAACGTATAATAGTCCAATAATAAATTAATTCCGTGAAAATAAAAAAAACCGCTCGGCCAACTGTTTGTCCGAAATCCAAGAATTTTTAGTGGATTTACGTAAATACATTTTAAATCTTCCCAAAATCGATTAGAACATAAATAAGATGTTTTTTTTTTTTTTTTTTTCATTGTTAATTTCATTTTTTTTCGCTTCAATTTGAGAAATTACACCTTTGACGTTTCGTTTAGCACAAATGCAATAAATAAATAATATATAATGTATTGTTATGTATGTTTATAATAATAATAAACATATTATGTCTTTTTTGTTTGCTCCAGTAATAATTTTTTTCCAATTTAGATTACTTAAGCAACCAATAATTGTTCATATTTTATTAAATTTACTCGCCGAAAAATGTGTTGCACTCCCAAGCCAATGTTTTTTGCATTTAGTAAACAAGACATGTAAGCACTTTAAATAATAAATTGTTTTCACTAATATTGTTACACATATATACCTATGGACCTTTCCCAGATAGCATATCCGTAATGACAATATTATATTAATATCAATTTTTCGTAAAAAAAAAAATATTACATAATTAATTAAATATTGGTAGTATATCAAATAAATATTTTGTAAAATCATAAATGAAATTATTATTAAAGAGAATATTCTGAATATATTGTTAATAACGAATTTTTAAATGACATTTTAGATGTGTTATTAATCTAACATCATAAATAAAATATGTAAAGAATATTGTGGACATTATATCGTCATAAACGAATCGCTGAAATAATATTATGAATATATTAATAACATGACATCATTGATGAAATAATAAAATAAAATTCTGAATGTACGATCATAACAATATTGTTAAAATCACAATAATTATACTACGATTAACAAAAAATTCAATATTTCTACGTGATGTTCTACCATAGAAATGATAAGAATGTATAATAGTATGTTATTGAGACATATTTTCTACGTTGGAACCAAGCAGTTTATTGTCGGGTTTGTCCCGATGTAAGCTGCATAAACAATAGCATAAGTAATAGCAACATTAGAATTTTCCGAGTATAGACCCAACCGTTACCAACGACCGATTGATTGTACATTTCAAAAATCGCCAAATCGGAAAAATTAGTTAATGTAAACGAATGTTATTACGATTAAAAGTACGCCAAGACCACAACGGGTCGACCGAGACTTATTTATCATCTCCATGCATAAAATAACGCAAACCAAAAACATATAATTTGCAATGTATAGTTGACAGTTAAATCACATTTGTATTGTTATTGTGTTTGGTCATTACATTTTATTCTTCAGTACCGTAGCCAATTTTTTTTTTTTTTTTTTTGTGGAGGGGGCACTTGTCATTTTTATATGAGTTACCGTATTTTGTTGAATGAAAAAATTCACCGAAATAACCAATAAACAAAAATAGGAGGAGGGCACTGCCTGTATAAAATAGTTTTGAAAATAATTAATGAAATATTTTTCTTGACAAACGAGTATAAACTTATAATTTTGAACTATATTCATTCAATACCATAAATACACTCTATCGGATCACATTCACAGCAACGATTTAATTTGGTAAGTTGTTGACCAGCATTTGTTTTGGCATCAATTGTGAACTTCACAAGTGACGGGTACTCACACGTACCCATTACTCGTCTAATCGTGTTTATTCATTTTAAAATAAATGAAAGGTAATTGTTTATTTCAGTTATGGTATTTTTTATTATTGTTTTCAATATAAAACATAAACTTAGAACTTATTTTTTATAAAAAAATATGCATTTTATATTATATTATATCAACTGTATACCTACTGTACTTTTTAATTTGTATATATTTTTAGCATATTTACCTAACTATTATTTAATTTGGATGATTATTAATTATTATTATGAAAACTATGAATTTTTGTAGTATTTTTTATGTTTTTAAATTATTATATTAATACTAAAGTGCTATTTGATTTTCTTCACTGGTGGAGTTTACATGAACCCAATTTTATCTGTTTTTTTTTCCTGGAGAAATTTACACATTAAAAAATGTACTTGTGGCGGAGTTTACATCCACCCGCACACACACCTAACCTCACCGTTTCAAAGCTAAACATCCACTGCTAATAGTCATATCGCCTAAATATGTCCAGTTGTATTATTTGATAATATCTGGTTGGATTGAGCCGTTCACTGTCGTTGTTACAAATTTCGATTATCGTCATAACAGATATTTGTGTATTATATTTTTAAAACAGAAATACCTTGTACCTTTTACGCGTCTTATAATACCTATATTTAAAAATAAGTTCTAGTATTCGATACATTTAAAAACTCTTGTTACTGAATATTATGCAGAAATTTGAGAAACAACTTGTGGCTTCGGATAATCCTAATCCCTTTCAGCCCTCTATTGTTAAATATTTCAATGCGCAAATGAAGTGTGACCCAACCATTTAATGGTGTACAGATGTTTTACCGAACAATAGTGATACGCAAATGATTCACGTCTCGTCGTTCATCCCTGCGTACGCCATTGGATATAGTGGGCGTACGGATAGACAGACACGGACGAATCGTTAAAGCAACGTCAATAATTATCGAAAAAAAAAAAAAAAATCTAATAGGTTTCGTTTTCGAAAATATAAACACAGTAGCACAGTGTTCACGAATAGTAAGTTGTTAATGGCGATTACGTTAATTATAATAATCGCGCGTTCGTTATCTGTTTAAATGAAATCGCATATTATTAAATATTTTGCGAAATGTCTTGTAAGCCGAGGCGCTCGAGGTGATGAATAAACCGAATATGCACGCGGGTGACTTATTCGTCGTTACGTATAATAATAATAAGAAGGCCGTTCATCTCGTAAACGATCGTAATAATTATTTACGATATTGTGTTATAGGTATTTGATGAATAATAGTATATACACACCTACATCGAGCGAACACCGGCGACGGAGACTAACCGATAATAACGTTATACTAATACCTGTTAAAACGTTCACAATGGTGCACGATATTACCGCAATGATTTATGGATAGTAAATTGACGGTTTACAATATTATATTTTTCATTCTGGAGTGGGACGTGTATACGGGTTGACCGGTTTTTGAATTTCCACGAGACACACTAACGACTACGCTCCGAACATGAAACCGCGGTATATCTCGCCAGCGGGTCGGTGGAAACCAGAAATTTACATAGGTAAAATCGAAATTCGGCAGTGGTTTCACAATGACCAGTATACGAGGTGTGGCTATTAAACAACGAGACTGGTTACGAAAAAGTGTTTTATTATAAAATTTATTCTACATTCAAATGCTCCCCTTCAATATACTCCCCTCCCCTCGACACACGCCGTTTCATTCGTTTCTTCCATTGCTCGAGGCAGTGCTGGAAGTCTGTTTTCGTAAGACCATTCAGGAGTTCCGCCGATTTTTGTTTCACCTCTTCCATCGACTCAAACCGGACTCCTTTTAAGGCAGACTTTATCTTCGGAAACAAGTAAAAGTCGCAGGGTGCCAAGTCGGNAAGACGCGTGTTCGAGTACTGGAGTGCCTTAAGCGGCCAAATAACGCTTCACGCTTTATCCTGGTGCAAGATCCACGACTTGTTTTTCCACAATATCGACCGTTTCTTACGAACTCATTCGCGCAATGTTGCCAAAACTGTCAAATAGTAATGTTGGTTCACAGTTTGACCCTCCGGAACCCATTCATTCATCACGATGCCGTTGATATCGAAGAAAACGGTTTTGAATTCGGATTACGACTGAATTGGATTCCGGTGCACTCTCGACCTACAGAAAATAATTTATACCACTCAAAAACACGCGCCCAAGATAGGAAATCCTCACTATAGGCCTCTTTTAACAAATTATAGCACTCAGTTGGAGTTTTTTTTTAGTTTACGAGAAAATTTTACGTTTATCCGTTGCTCATGTTTTTCGTCACACATGGTTTTCGGAACGAGAAAAAAACACGTTCGTTTCAAACCACTACTGCACAAATACTATAATAGTGACGAAAACGTGTTTTGGTACGTGCACAGATAAGATATCTAGATACCCAACGCATTACTCGTTTTTTCACTACCTATCTAGGGCGCCCTCTAGGCGATCAGTCTCGTTATTTAATAGCCACACTTCGTATATGGGCAAAATGTATACGCTCCTACAGACTATTAAATAAAACCAAAGTTTTGGAATTTAGTACGTGAGTAGTGGCGTAAGTATCAATGATGTACCTATTGGAGGTTTCAACTTTCAACCTCGACCCCTAACATTTGAATGACAAAATTTCAGTATATATATTATGTATGTATACAACTAATGTAGTACTTATAGTACTGCATCGTTATGGTGTTCGATTATTTGTTGTTTTGCTTAGAATCAATTAATAATACGGAATAAGTGTGGAAAAATTTGATTTGAGTGATGGAGCCCTGCTGCTAATTATAAAGTTAGAAAAAAAATATTGAAAAACGGAGTTTAACATGACTATAGCTTGTAGAAACTAGGAAGTCTACATTAGTGCACTCGCTTTCCTATAAAAAAGCTTTACGAGTATACAGACCAAAACTTCGCCTAAACTTTTTGACTATCCTTAGTCTCTTCCATTACCAACGAGAGTGTTAAGTATAGAAAAAAACAATAATTTGTTACAAAATATTCTATAATAATTTAACCGTTTATCATTTAGTTTCTGTAGTTAACACGCTGTAAACAAAATCTCACTCTATGTCTCTATACCAGCGTTTCTCAACCTTAGGGTCACGACCCTCGAGAGGGGGTCATAAACTCCTCAAAGTAGGATCGCATCGGTCGGAAATAATTAAACCTTTTATTAATAATAAAAAATTAATACACACCTAACCATAATTAGAAAAATAAAGAAATAGTTAAAATATTTTATTACATATATTATATAATATATAATATAATACAATTAAATATAATAATAAATTTAATATAATAAAAATATATTAGTTTTAAGACCGCGAGGCAACTGACTTTATTTTTTACCTGTTTTGGGGTCGTGACATTAAAAAGGTTGAGAAACACTGCTTCCCGCATAGCATTTGGAAATGATAATATTTTATACATATTTTGAAGTGATTATATAATAAATATTTTACTAATAATATTGTATACACATTTTATTTTTATGATTTACAAAAATATTTTCTAAATATTTGTTTAATGTTTCCAAGAAATTACAAGAATGTAACGTTTTAGAAATATGATATTAAAATTTTTGATGAATGTTATTATCCAATTTTATCCACTATTTGGGCAAAAAATATTTCGATAACATTAACAAATATTATGACAACTAAAAAATTTTCCTAAAAATATTTTGTTCATATTATGGAAATACTTTTTTGCTGTGTACGTCTATACGACTGGATGCAAATTAACTAAACATGGGGGTTGTATTCCAAATGAAGTATTCTGAATACTGTATCTGAAATATTTTTTTAAGTAGGTGTTCTGAATTTGTTTAAAATAATTTTTTTCGGTATTACGAACAGTTTTAAAAAGCATTTTATTCCTGAAAAACAAAACTTTTTCACAATCTCATTTTAGTATGTTTAATGCTTTATTTATTTATTTTTTTCTTGGAAGACGTTGGTGTTTTCCGAGGATAGCTTTCTCGGTCAGAAAAGATGTTCCGATTTATTTAAGCGTTAACTTGAAAGATGCGTAATTTACACCCGGTGCAGGTACTCGATTAAAAACATCTATCGACATTCCCAAAAGTTAAAATATAATGCACAATATTACGTTACCAACTATCGCAATATCCATAGTGTCCCCGCGTCATCCGAATTAACCTAACGTTTTTTCAAACATGCGGTATCCCTAAAATATTCCGAATACTTTTCGCAAAGTGTTCGGCATATTTTCAAAACGCCGTTTTGCGTTCGTGTTCGAATATTCATTCCGAATACTTACGGCCTGAAACACTCGTCCTGAAAAGAAAAAAAAAACCGCGCCGCACCGCGGAGTTTACAAAGTTTCGGGGGTTTCGCGACGCACACGCACGCACAACATTATGTTATCGTATAACGTAATATCGTACAAGTCGTGACAATAATAATATTATAATATTATACGGGTCGGAGTACCCGAACCGCGCAACGACAGTCGTCCCCTTGCTGCCGCGTATGCCCAAGTGCATATAATACGGTCGCACGCCGCCGCGGTACACTGGGAAAAGGGGAACGAACGTCTGGCTGCAGACTGCGCGGACAACAAGTATTATAATATTATAGGTACATTATAATAATAATAATAATAATAATAATAATATTTTTCGGAGTCGCGGTATATTGTGTACGGACATATACCGGGTGTATTATAATGTTATACGCCCCGCCTGTCGGATAACCGACCCCGCGGACACGTTTCGGCTGCGTTCACGCTGTATACATATACAGGGTAGTAGACGTCGGCGGGGTCGTGGCGCAACCAACAAAGAAAACCCCAAAGATTCGGGGTGACCGTGTACCGGTGGAGGTTCTACGAAATCTGGGCCGACAATACAATGAAACACCGCCGAAGAAAAGAATGGGGGGGAAAAGAAAAAAAAAAAAAAGGAAAAAGGGAGGTAGGAATAATAATAAAATATATTCGGCGGGATCCCTGCGCGTAAAGGTTCGCGGTTCTAAAACGGCGATGACGACGACGACGACGACGGTCGGCGGCGGCGGCGCTGATGACGACGACGTCGCGTCGCGTAGAGACGGCACTCTCACCTGGCGCACACCGCTCGTAGTTCTTTTATATTATTATTATGATTATGTT